GAAGTGGCGCTGTAGCTCAAGTGGTAGAGCGCTCGCCTTGAGCTGAAGAGCTGAGGGACAGCGCCCAGGCCCAGAGTTCAAGCCCCACAACCGACAAAAAAAAAAAAAGAAAAAAAAAAGAGTTTCTTTGGACTTTCCTGCTTGGGTTGGCTTTGAACCACAATCCTCAGATCTCAGCCTACTGAGTAGCTAGGATTACAGGTGTGAGCCACCAGCACCCAGTTCTAGCTACCAGTTTTCTATTTTTCCAGTTTCCAAAAAATTGTAGGCCTCTTTAGTATGTATTTGTGTCCTCTCCTGTTTTCTGGTATATAGGGGACAAATCTAATCTGTAGCATGATTTTGTATAGCTTTTCACTGAATCATTTTTACCTTTTAAAATAGTTGAGGGAGCCAGGTACAGGTGGCTCACGCCTGTAATCCTAGCTACTCAGGAGGCTGAGATCTGAGGACCACGCTTCAAAGCCAGCCCAGGCAGGAAAGTCTGTGAGACTCTTGTGTGTGTGTGTCCAGTCGTGGGGCCTGAACTCTGAGCCTGGGTGCTGTCCCTGAGCTCTTCAGCTCAAGGCTAGCACTCTACCACTTGAACCACAGCGCCACTTCCGGCTTTTTTTTCCTGCTTATGTGGTGTTGAGGAATTGAACCCAGGGCCTCATGCATGCAAGGCAAGCGCTCTACCACTGAGCCACCTTCCCAGCCCCTGTGAAACTCTTATCTCCAATAAACCACCAGAAAACCCAAAGTGGCGCTGTGGCTCAAGTGGTAGAGTGCTAACCTTGAGCTGAAGAGCTGAGAGACAGTGTCCAGAGTTCAAGCCCCATGATCTGCCAAAAAAAAAAAGTTGGGGGAAACCCAGGTGCTGGTGGCTTAACCTGTAATCCTAGCTGTTCAAGGAACTGTAACTTAAAGAGGGCCAATAAGTTATCTCCAGTTAACTAACCCCCTCCCCTTTAAAAAAAAAAAAGCGGAAAGTGGAGCTATGACTCAAATGGTTCAGCTCTAACTCAGGGACTGGGACCAAGCCCTAAATTCAAGCCCCCCCAAAAAAAAACCCCAGAAAGTTGGGGGGACATCAAAGATTATTTTGTACATCTGAACATTATATAATATTCAAATTTCACTGTCCATAGGTTTATTTATTTATTTTTTTATTTTGTCTGTCATGGGGCTTGAACTCTGGGCCTGGGCTCTGTCCCTCAGCTCAAGGCTAGTGCTCTACCACTTGAGCCATAGTGCCACTTCTGGTTTTCTGATGGTTAATTGGAGATAAGAGTCTCACGGACTTTCCTGCTCGGGCTGGCTTTGAATGATGATCCTCAGATCTCAGATTCCTGAGTAGCTAGGATTACAGGTATGAGCCACCAGCTCCCGGCTGGTTTATTTTTGATGCCAGATCTTCCTGTGTTGCTGTGTTCCTGGAACACCTGTTTCAGAGTCCATGGCAGCTGATACTAAAATTTTGAGCTAGTTTTACTGCTTCTAGAAAGTCACTTTGTTTACTTACCACACTGCAACACAGATTTTTACCACCAGTCAAAGACAATAGTAAGTACTATTTAGACCTTAGGCTTTGGGCTCTTGCCAGGATTGCAGGTCACTTGGATTATCTGCTTAGAATATGAGCTTCTAGATGGTGGTACCTGGGTCACAGGAACCTCCAAAATATCTGCTGTGACTGAGAAAACTCACTGACGATAGAGGAAGAACAATGACGCGCAAAGATCAGCGTTCTGGGTTCAAATGCTGACCTTGGGAAAGTGGACTCCCTGCGTGTCTCGCTTCCTCTGCTGTGCAGTAGAAATTAAAGTAGGGCCACAAATACGATAAAGTGGGGGGGAAGCACTTCGCCACGAGCTGGTACTAATCGCGCCACGAGTTTCCGGAGGAAGCGTGGAGCCGGTGCTGAACCTGCCAGCCAAGAAGCCCTCTGAGCCACTAGGCCCAGGCGCTGTCCGCCAGACGCCATTCGTGCGAGGCGCGGCTGGGGACCTGTCAATCAAGCTGCGGTAGGGTGAGGTGGGGCGTGGCGTGACAGGCAGGGCGTGACCGGGGGGCGTGGCGTTCGTGGAGGCTGATGCGCGTGCGCGAGGCGACGCAGCGCTTCTCCCTAGCGCTGGGCTCAGTGGTGAAAGTCGCGTCCCGGTCGCCTGCCGCGCGGCCGGATGAGGGGCGTGATGGACCCGGAGCCCGAGCTCGAGCTGTTGCTGCAGGAGGCCCGCGAGAACGTGGAGGCGGCACAGAGCTACCGGCGGGAGCTGGGCCAGCGGCTGCAGGGTCTGCGGGAGGCGCAGAGGCAGGTCGGAGGGCCGCATCCGGAGGGGCGCTGTGGGCCCGGGGCGGTGGGCGCGGACTGGGAAGGCTCGGGCGCGCGGGAATGCCGGAAAACCTCCGGGAGTAGAGGCGAGAGGTTCGGAAGGCAGACGGAGACCGGGCGGGATCTGCTAACGGGGAAGCAGAAGCCGGGGAAATCGGAAGGGGACGACGAAATTTGGGGGATCGGAGAAAAGAGAGTTGGGGGACCGTTTGCGAAACCATGCGGGACAGAAGGGGGCAATGCACGTGAGCCCCCACTGAGCAACAGCGTGTGTGGGGGGCACAGAAGGTTGTGGTAACGGAAGAGGTTGGTGGGGGGGGTTATTTGGGAAAACTTGTAATAGATTCATGTTAGGGATCCTGAGGAAAATGTGGGACAGCGACCTGGAAGGTAGTGGGGGGGGAGAGATTTAAAAGTGGAGCCCGAATATTTGTTGTGGCGAGGGTTGGAGACGAAAAGAGAGGGAGAAGAGATAGGATTGGGAAGGGTAGCCGTCATGTTAAATGAATGAGGTTAATGTTTGAAGGTTACGGTCCTGGTTGCTTTGAATCAAAGTAATCTTGTTCTAGATGGATTAGAATGTAAGATGAAGTTGTTGGAAGTGCCCCAGAAGGAAAAATGAAATGCTTGAGGGAAGGTATACACAGGCAAAGGGAGCTGGAAAAAGACATTGAGGCCGGACTGCTGAAGGAGAAGCTAAATATATTTACTTAAAGCGGGGCAGTTATCTCTTCCTTGGAGAAAGGGTTATCAAAGATAGATGGAAAACACGTGGGGTTCTTAGCACTCTCAAACGTAAACAGACGTTAGAACCCACTGCTGAGTGTGTGATGGGAGAAGTAACTTCTTAAGCACTTCTTAAACGTTTTCGGGAGTAAGTGGGATTCCATTTGATTTTCTCTGGGACTTATTTGATATTCTTGGATATTGTTATTGCTAAGAATATATAAAATGCTTTGGGTGGGCTGGGAAGGTGGCTCAGTGGTAGAGCGCTTGCCTTGCATTCATGAGGCCCTGGGTTCGATTCCTCAGCACCACATAAGCAAAAAGAAAAAAAGCCAGAAGTGGTGCTGTGGCTCAAGTGGTAGAGCGCTAGCCTTGAGCTGAAGAGCTGAGGGACAGCACGCAGGCCCAGAGTTCCGGCCCCACGACCGGACCCCAAAAAAAATGCTTTGGGTTTTACATATCTTTAAATCCTTGTAGTAGGGCTGATGTACAACAGATATCATTCATATTTTATTAGCCAAACTGGGAGAAGAATATAGATATGATTGTCTTGGTTCGGCGAATACTTTTCAAGGCTTTCCAATGCACTTATTTAGATTTTCCTTTGGAAACATCTGCATTACTCTTGCTATTTTGAAATAAATGTTCTAAATCTGGTACATTGTTTTTTGTTTTTTTAAGTTTAAAACATTTCTTGGAGGCTATGTGCTGGTGCCCTGCCTGTAATCCTAACTGCTCAAGAGGCTGAGATCTGAGGATAGAAGATTGAAGTCAGCTCAGGCAGGAAAGTCCATGTGGCTTATCTCCAATTAATAAGCAAAAAGCTGGAAGTGGAGCTGGGGCAACCTGAATGCTAGCCTTGAGGGAAAAAGCTAAGGGACAGCACACAGGGCCTGAGCTCAAGCTGGCAGATGGACAGACACATACACAAAATTTCTTGGGCTGAGTGTGTATGGCTTAAGTGGTAAAATACTTAACTAGTAAGTGAAGTTCTGAGTCCAAATTCCAGTATTGTAAAAAAAAAAATTAGAATACTTCTTAATATATGACTAATGTTTCAACTAGTTGAAATGTCTTTTATATAAGTATGACTGTTTAACTCTGTGTCAGCAATTAAGCAGTAGGGTTGACACTGAAAGAATGAGGTTAGCACCTGGGAGTGGTGCTGAGGAATGTCTCATGACTGGATAGTGTATGTATTAAAAAAAAAGTGATTTCCCATCATAGGTACATAGTTCAGTTTCCAAACCAAAGGCTGGGGGTGTGCCTCAGTGAGACAGTGCTTACCTATCATATGTAAGACAGTGGGTTCAATTCCAAGCACTGCAAAAAACAACAGCAAAACAAATATATATTCTTTTATTATATATTTTTAAAATCAGTATGTTTCTGGGGCTAGGAATCAACCCCAGAGCTTGCACATGTTAGCAAACATATTATCAGTGCACTATATCCATAGTCTATTTTGTATCCAGTAATTTAAATACAGAACATTCTTTCTGGTAACTTAGTGTGGTTTAATGTGGGTGTTTTGTTTTGTTTTGTTTTGGAGGGCCATTGTCTTATGAGGTAGGAAAGATTAAAAGCACATCCATCAGTTAGATTTATGATGACAGTGCCTTCTGACTATACTTGAAATAATAGTATGGCTCTCTTTTGTTAGCTGGAATGTGTGAGTGTGCATGTTTGGATTTGTAGAATAAGATCTCTGACAATTTTTGTTTTCCTTTTAGTTTTTTTTTTTTTTTTTTTTTTGGTTGTGGGGCCTAAACTTGGCCTGGGCACTGTCCCTCAGCTCTTCAGCTCAAGGCTAGCACTGTACCACTTGAGCCACAGCACCACTTCCAGCTTTTTCTGCTTATATGGTGCTGAGGAATTGAACCTAGGGCCTTATGAATGCAAGGCAAGCTCTCTACCACTGAGCTACCTTCCCAGCCCCTCCTTTTAGGTTTGTTTTTGTTTTTTGAGATAGATTCTAGATATGACCTTGATCTCACAATCCTCACGCCTCCCATCTCCTATGTCAACTTACCTATCGATCTAGTCTTTTTTGCTGAAACCCTAAGTCTTTCGAATGTTAGGTAAGCTCTTTACCACTGAGCTACATCTTCAGTATTTAAAAATAGTAGCTATTTTTGTTTGTTGTTTAGTATATTTTTAGAGTTCTAGTCCTTTTATTCACTGCATAAAATGCATGGCTTTTGGGCTGGGAAGGTGGCTCAGTAGTAGAGCACTTGCCTTGCATGCCTGAGACCCTGGGTTCGATTCCTCAGCACCACATAAGCAAAAAGAAAAAAGCCAGAAGTGGTGCTGTGGCTCAAGTGGTAGAGCACTGG